CTTACAATTTGATCTTACTTTAATCAAAGAGATATGCCAAAGATAATGTAATTAAGAAATATACTCTGATGTATTTTTGTGTAATTCTTAGCCCGATTTGAGTAAACGCTTTTCAATTTTTGGTAATTTTTTCACAAAATAATTATTCTGTAAAAACCGACTGAGTGATTGATTTGAAATTTTGCACTTGGGTTATTGGTCTAGACCTACATTCAAATTGAACACTTATCTCAAAATAATTTTTCCTGGTGCGTCATGTTAAAGGCCGTAAATTAAATTCCGTAGTGGAATCCCTTCAAACTTTGAACGATACTTTTTTTAAAATTCAGAACTGAGACAATACATCACTCAAGTCCAGCAGGATAAAGGTCAGATAAACCTGACTGAAGTAGAACGTGATAAATATTTACATATGATAGGAAAAAATCACGGAAAATTTAAAACTTAAAGATTTGAAAAGGGTGGGACATATCTTTTGGCATTCCAAAAAACATATCAACAAAAGCAGTTGTAACAGTATAGTATACATGTAACAAGATTTCACACACATTAATAAGAGGATCATATCCAGGGTTTCCAAAAGCAAAACTGCCGTAACTTGTTACTTTAAACTAACCCCACTAAATATAAGAGATGGACTTGTCCATTTTTCAATCTTGACTAAACCATTTATCAATTTTATGGATATTTTTTTTCTTTTCAAAATATGTTCTGAATGAATTGCAAACAGTGCGGGCTGATCTTGGTCTGCACTGGTTGCATGGATAGAATCTGTTCGCGCCAGCAGGCTTAGGGTTAAAATGTACCCAGTTTTTTTACACATTAATTTGTCACTTTAGTGCAGGAACAGGTTAACTCCTATTAAAATCTGATAAGTAGTTAATCCGTTAGGCTGCTTCCTCATCATGTTTCTTTTCACTTCTTTTGATAATTTCCCAATGTACATTTGAATTGCATGTTGTTATTTCTAACTTTGAAACTTAAGTAAATAGCCCCCTAGAATGATCTTATCTGGCTCTTTGCACTGCACATTCCAATATTTGCAATTCGCAAAACGTGCAAATGACCGTACGGGTTACTGGCCGATATGAAAAACAGTGCGTATCGGGTAAACTGAGTACACAATACTGAATAGTATTCTGAACATCGCCACGGTTTAAAATACATATATAATGTAGCATCTACACAGACAAAGTTTCACAGGCTATAAAACAGGGACATTCCTAGTTTAACTGGGTATACTTTCAACTCTATATAGTACTTTGGAAATATCTGTATCAGCAAAAAAATCTTAAATTTGCAAAAATTAGCAAAACAAATCCCTTGTGAGAATTTCTGATTATTCAGTGCCTTTTTTTATACTGATCTCCCTCAACCTCAAAATTAGAAGATCCATATTCCAAAACAGGGCAAGTTCATTTTACAAATTTAGTGGGGTTTGAGGTAATCTTTGAAATTTCAATTAATCTAAAAAACAAAACAAACTTGTTACGACAGCATTGCCATGAAAACCCTACAATATCGTGAAATATAGCAAAAAAAAAGGTCCCTTGCAAGACCACATTCTTACATCACCTTGAAATTATTCTGTAAAAAATAAGCGTATACTAAATTATCATGAGTAATTTTTTTTCCAAAAGAAAACATTTATATCACATTTTGTATGTCTTTAATCAGAATAGTAAGGCAAACCTCTTATAAGCTTATTTTCATGTTCTTAACAATCTGATCTTTTAAATCTCTCAAAAAGGACAAAGTTCCTTTGATGTTTTAGGTGAAGTTAGCTCTTTCAATTTTACAGTATGGGACTAAGGTCCTTTGATCTCCTTTTTATTATCTTACAGGCAGAATGAGGTCATTCAAACTTGGCTGATTTAATCACTTCAGTAGATTTAAGCTTTATAAAGCTCAAAAGTGGACTATGTTCTTTCTAATGAGCTTCTCCAATCTTTTAGACTGAGCTTTTTATGCTCTTAGACAGACTGAGCTTTTTGAGCTTTTATGCTCCAATAAAGATTAAGCTTTTTAAGCTCTAAGACAGACTGATCTTTTACAGCTTCTTCGATAGACTGAGCTTTCTATGCTCTTACACAAACTGAGCTTTTTAAGCCCTTATATAGACAGAGCTTTTTATGCTCTTAGACTGAGGTTTTTAAGCTCTTAGATAAAAACTTAGCTTTTATGCTCTTAGTAAGTCTGAGCTTTTTAACCTCTAAGACAGACTGAGTGTTTCAACCTCTAAGATAGACTGAGCTTTTTATACTCTAAGACAGACTGAGCTTTTAACCGCTAAGACAGACTGAGCTTTTTATGCTCTAAGACAGACAGAGCTTTTTAACCTCTAAGACAGACTGAGTGTTTCAACCTCTAAGATAGACTGAGCTTTTTATACTCTAAGACAGACTGAGCTTTTAACCGCTAAGACAGACTGAGCTTTTTATGCTCTAAGACAGACAGAGCTTTTTAACCTCTAAGACAGACTGAGCTTTTTAACCTCTAAGACAGACTGAGCTTTTTATACTCTAAGACAGACTGAGCTTTTTAACCTCTAAGACAGACTGAGGGTTTTAACCTCTAAGAGTGTTTTAACCTCTAAGACAGACGGAGCTTTTTAACCTCTAAGAGTGTTTTAACCTCTAAGACAGACTGAGCTTTTTATGCTCTAAGACAGACTGAGCTTTTTAACCTCTCAGACAAACTGAGCTTTTTATGCTCTAATACAGACTGCGTGTTTCAACCTCTAAGACAGACTGAGCTTTTTAACCTCTAAGACAGACTAAGCTTTTTAAAGTGTTTAGACAGACTGAGCATTTTAACCTCTAAGACAGACTGAGCTTTTTAACCTCTAAGACAGACTAAGCTTTTTAAAGTGTTAAGACAGACTGAGCATTTTAACCTCTAAGACAGACTGAGCTTTTTATGCTCTAAGACAGACTGAGTGTTTCAACCTCTAAGACAGACTGAGTGTTTCAACCTCTAAGACAGACTGAGCTTTTTAACCTCTCAGACAAACTGAGCTTTTTATGCTCTAAGACAGACTGAGTGTTTCAACCTCTAAGACAGACTGAGCTTTTTAACCTCTAAGACAGACTAAGCTTTTTAAAGTGTTTAGACAGACTGAGCATTTTAACCTCTAAGACAGACTGAGCTTTTTAACCTCTCAGACAAACTGAGTTTTTTATGCTCTAAGACAGACTGAGTGTTTCAACCTCTAAGACAGACTGAGCTTTTTAACCTCTAAGACAGACTAAGCTTTTTAAAGTGTTAAGACAGACTGAGCTTTTTATGCTCTAAGACAGACTGAGTGTTTCAACCTCTCAGACAAACTGAGCTTTTTATGCTCTAAGACAGACTGAGTGTTTCAACCTCTAAGACAGACTGAGCATTTTAAGTGTTTAGACAGACAGAGGGTTTTAACCTCTAAGACAGACTGAGCTTTTTAACCTCTAAGACAGACTGAGCTTTTTAAGTGTTTAGACAGACTGAGCATTTTAACCTCTAAGGCAGACTGAGCTTTTTATGCTCTAAGAGACAGACTGAGTGTTTTCAACCTCTAAGACAGACTGAGCTTTTTTAAAAGTTTAGACAGACAGAGGGTTTTAACCTCTAAGACAGACTGAGCTTTTTAACCTCTAAGACAGACTGAGCTTTTTTAAAAATTTAGACAGACTGAGCATTTTAACCTCTAAGGCAGACTGAGCTTTTTATGCTCTAAGACAGACTGAGTGTTTCAACCTCTAAGACAGACTGAGCTTTTTAACCTCTAAGACAGACTGAGCTTTTTAAAGTGTTTAGACAGACTGAGCATTTTAAGCTCTTAGACAGACTGAGCTTTTAATGCTCTTACAGACAAAGATATTTTTAAGCTCATGAATAGCTCTTTGTCGCTCTTGATCTTTTAAGATCTCAAGACCAAATAATGTGTCCACAATTATTGTCAAGCACCAAAAAGCGTACCAGATTACAATAATCTTGACTTGCTAAATAACCACTTTATTTATTACTCATAGTCTAATGTCATGAATGACGGTTACTGTTTTGGTTTTTATTTTTCCTATATTAATTAGGATAAGCTGACATTGGCTTCTATGGTAATTGAGCCACGTCACGACAAAACCAACTTAGTGTGTTTGCCACCAGCATGGATCCAGACCAGCCTGCGCATCCGCGCAGTCTGATCAGGATCCATGCTGTTCGCTTTCAGTTTCTCTTCTTGTAATTGGCTGGTCTGGATTCATGCTGGTCGCAAACCCACCATGTTGGTTATGTCATGGCACGGCTCAATTATAATAAAAATACTCTGACAAACGAACAGGTAAGAACATTTAATACAAGGGGAACATTTGACATTCTTCCTCGAAAAGAAAAACAACAAACAAAAAAAACTGTAAATAAATGGTAATAGGCAAAAGAAATGAAATAAAAAAAAATGTACAAAAATATAATTCCATCAGGACCTACAATTTTACTTTAACACATTACAATTATATATTTGTAGCACTGATTTTACAGATTAGAAAATTCTTACAATTTTATTATTTGTACATGATTGTAAACATGTACATAATTTCTGTAAATTTATATTTTATGCTTTTTCAATTTTGGACAGGTTTATCAAACTGTTATATATATAAAATATTGTTGACAGGTTATATATGTTTGGCCGTGTCTAAAAGGTTATTTGCTATATAAGATCAGGTAATATAAACCTGAAACTGTTAAAACAGAGGTCATAATTATAACCTGTCAAAAAATCTTAATAATTATCTTATCATATATATGTGCACTTAAAACTCAACATATCTTCACTCAGTTTGCAATTTTCGAGTAATTTTGTAGTCATAAATGCTTCCAAGGATCACACTTCATCCGTTGTTTTTTTTTTTTTTTAATCATAGAACAACAGGTTAGGACAAAATTTCTTTTCCGAAATCATCAGGGAAGTTGCTTTTCAAAGTCTTAGCCACCTATATACATAACAAAAGAAAATGCTAAAATACCTGCTAAGCTGGTCAGTTTCACTTGTAATGGTCAGTTGATGGCCAAGTACATACAGGGCTGTAATTAAATCTGACCACTGCACTAGTTCACCTAACGGTCCACCTGTAAGTAAACAACAAAGATCATAGTGCCATGCAACTTTAAATACCCACGGCCATTATCAAGCGGATAAGAGGTGTGTCAAAGACAACTATTTTTATTGGTTGCCTCATGATTTCATATGGCGATTATAACCAATCAAACCGTTCGTTCTATACAATGTTTGGTATTTCAGACAAAATTGCAGCAACCAATTAAATTCAGCTAAGAAATGTTCAATATCAAAAATGTATATGAAGAATATAAATTTTGTTAATGCGATTTCATTGGTCAATATATTATGCACCTGTTGCTGTATACCGACGATAATTGATTCATTTTATACATGTCTTGATAACACATTAATCAGCCGTGAATACCCGACTATGAGTACAATGAAACTGCTCATTTAAGAATATTATTCATGAAATACTATAAAACTACAAGTTTGTAACAACGTTTCATCCTTATAAAACTTCTTATAAACATTTTTTACTACATTATATTGCCAGTTTTTTCCCCCCATACTTTAAGAATGGTGTTGTTAACAAACAAATTGAGAAAAATGCATCGTTTTGACTCAAAATAGGAATTTTACGTAATAGGCCAGGTATTCATGTGAAATTTTTTTTTAATCCAAGGAGAAATGAGAGTTATGTATAATTTACTTTGTTTTATCGCATATCATTTATCAATATGGAAGCAAGCATCCATTATTGTTTCTGTTTACCTTTTAATTTTCAATTTTTTTTACCATTTTCCGGTATAAGTTATAAAAACAAAAATACAATGCTGATTACCTTTGAACTGCATTTCAGCAAATTTCCATCCAGACTGCTTTGAGAGTAATCCTAAATGAACCAAAATCTGAAAAAATGGACCTAAATGATAAAATATGTCCTAAAATTATGATAACCTATATGCAAAAACTATAGAAGAGCACGCATGTATGCAACTGTAAGAACTAACTCATTTGCTACAAAAACATGTTGCAATAACCTTAGGTTATATAGATTTCATTTTTTGTTCAACTGTTTATGAAGCTTAACTCTTATAGACACTCTCAAATCCATTTCTGGAACCAACCGGAGTACTGAGCAATATGTGTCACGTGAACAACAGCTTGCCATTGACAGGGTTTGAACCCACACGGCTAGATATCTTTAGGTTACTAATCTGACCCATTAACCATTTGGCCACAATGTCACTTAATGTGCTATTATTTGTCTTGCATGCTATTATTTGTTTTGCATCACGACTCTTTTCGTTTTTGTATATACACCCCCACCCCACTCCCAGCATCTTGTCATGTTATTAATTAATACATGCCTTTTAAAATTTCTGTTTGACAGTAACTGTTGTGAACAAAATTTAATAACACTTACACAGACATATTTTAACCTTGATATATCACCATTTCTTGATCAACTGTACTACTCTATATTAAGTACAGTTTTCAAATTTACAAATATTTCAAATAAGCATAAACAATTAGTATTTATGGTTTATATTTGATGACAAAAAAGGTCAATCAACCTATATATATCTAAAAAACATTGAGAGAAAAAAAACAACAAACCTTTTTTGGTTTTCTTTTTGATAAATCTTGTTTACGAGCTAAATTTTTTATTGCCTCCTCCCACCTGGGCCAGATGCGTTTGATCCTCATACGTATCCATGCGTAGCCTTGCCGCTCATTAGGGTCCTTCAATAGCTGCATCAACCCATCCAGGTCCGTTGTTATATTAGCCTGTTGTAACAAAAAAATTATCATAATTCATTTATCTTTATTAGATTTAAAGGTTTTTAATAAACCCTATTGAATTGTTTAATATTGCTGAGTAATATTTACATAACAATGACTCTTTTAAAAGGGTTTTTCATTGCATTCATAATTAACTAAGCTATAAAGCCACTTTGATACAGTTTTGGGATATTTTCAAAGTTAGAAAAAAACACACAAATATGTCACATACACTAACAGATGCATTGTAATTTTGCATTGGTATGGTCAAGATGGTCCAAGTATTAATAATTTCTGTATACTAATAACAAAGTTATAGTAAAAACAGTGAAATTTCATTGCATTGGTATGGTCAAGTTGGTCCAAGTATTTATAATTTTTGTATACTTATAACAAAGTTTTTCCACCAATCATAGTAAAGACAGTGAAATTTCAATAGTTACCCCTTCAAGGTCAAGGTCATTTAAAGGTCAAAGTTAGTTTGATCTTGATCTCCATAAAGGTCCTAAAGAATGTTGTGTCTAAATATGAAGACAATTCAATCATAAATAACAAATTTTTCTAGCCAGTTACAGCACAACAAAGGCAAAATTCAATAATTTATGATGTCAGTCTGATCAACTCATAGAACATTCCAAAGTGTTGTTGTATCCAAGTATAAAGACAATTCATTAATCAACAATTATGCCACTTTGGTACATTTTTGGTTAAAAATGTGCATACATGTAATTATGTTAAACTTAGTATCAGTTATGAAACATAATTATACAGTTGCAATGTGATATTGTTTTGAAGTGCCAAATTTCAATTAATACCGGTTCCTCAGATGGGACGGGACGAGACAGAGTGATTCTTATATAGCCCCTACCCCGCAAAATGTTTGGCGAGGGTATAATAAAGGATAAACTCTTATCCTGGTCACATAACCTAAATCTATACTTACAGATCTCATGTCAAATATATCATGTGTTGGTACAAGACTGGAACCATGCCATGCTGACCTAGGGCACCAGCCTTCAATCTATAAATAAATGTCATAATCTATAAATAGATGTCATAATACATAGATTTCATAATATATAAATGTTAAAATCTATAAATAAAAAAAAGATCTTTAAATAAAAAGGCATGATCTATAAACATATGTGATGATATATAAATAGAAATAAATGTTATGAACAATGAGAAGTTATATTTTTATCAATTTCAATGTATGTAAATCAAAAACTGTTCAAAAATGGGGTTTTCCTACCTAATCTGTGAGTTTCACAATTTATAACTTCAAGGGACACTACCATTCAACATGTCCACATTTATATTTCATACACCTACATACTGGTATTTAACATACATTAAAGCAACACCATGAAGTTGTGACAGTAAGATTTTAGCTGCATATTCCAAAATATGTTAACTCTATTGAACATAAAAAAGCAAAAAATGAGTTAAGTTCTATGCACAATAACTACAACCAAATAATGATAAATTTGTCAAAAATAAAGAATTTGGAAAAGTTTTAAACCACTCACCTCACTAAGGTACATTATAAACGAGCACGCTGAGCCGTCCACGCCGTATGAAGCATAGCACGGATCTGACTTCCACATCTGTTTCATCCACTAAAATTAAAAAAAATAAAATAAAATCATTCACCATTTCTTTAATTATTAATTATAAGAAGGTTTAGTTGTTGTGTTTTCTTTGTTCAAAGTTGCTTTAAATTCCACTTTGTTTCTATACTTTACAATTGGGTTAATTAATTTTACTTAGTTTTTGTACTGAATAATTGGATTTAATTGCTTTGGTTTCTATGTTGACTGTTGAGTAAATTTTCACTATGAAACACTATATGTTTAAGATATAAACTGGTTACATGGAACTTAGTAGAGTTTACCAAGGTACATGCACTTAATGAAGTGTTGAGACTGCAGACTGTAGGACTTCAGTGTGATGGCCAAAGTTAAGGTTTTATGACAAACAATCCAATAAAAAGACAGATGATGAATGGTTCAGTCCCGACTGAAAGATGGATAAGTCCATTTTTAGATATTGGTGGTGGTAAGGGTGAAAATAAATCAAGTAAAAAGAGAAGAGGGATCTACCTCTATTTTTCCTTGACATTTTGGATAAAGCTGTTTTTCTTTGTCAGATAATCTACACTTTTCAGGTTCTCCCTGTAGTAAATCTAAAAAATCAAGTTTTCAAAAATTTCAAACTTTGAAACTATAATACATCAATCCTAAAATACAATTCAATACAACACTTAACAAACAATTAAACAGCTGTCAAAAATCTGTCAATGGCTGTAAATAAATCATTGAATTTTGTAAAATATTGACAGTTTCATGACAAATAATGACATTGTAAAATGAATGAATCACGCCAATTATTGCTTGTAATAGACTTTAATATGCCTAAAGTAAAAGAGTCCTATAGTTATGTCATTGGTATAAACAGGGCCAAGTTGTTGTTTCCTTGAGCAAGAAACTTTACACTAATTGCTCAGTACTGGTTGGTTCCAGGAACGGGTTCGAAAATGCGTTTATGAGCTAATAGCTTCCTGCACAATCAAACTAAAATCAATTCTGTATAAACCAAATTGTGGTATAATTTCATCACTACTGGCTATGAGGTTTAGGCGGACTTAGGAGTTTTGTTCAATAAAAATGTTTATAACAGAGTGTGATCAAAATTACACCTTTATTTTGTGCTTTGGCAAACTAAAAACTGTAGACAAATCTAATATTTATCCTAACTGACCATGACTACAACCAAAATAATCTGAAAAAAATTTCTGACAACTATTTGTTCAGATTTAGTGTCATATCACCAACTATAGTATAAATTTAGTGTTGTCATACCTTCAGCTAGTAATGAGTGTTGTTTATCGGTTTCACCTGGCTTCGCTAGAATGGAGCTAATATTGGCAGTAATGTTTAATTCATGTTCTACTTTGTCCAACCTTTGTAAAATGTTTTCCAATAAAACTGCCATTGTCTTCTTGAGATCTGAAAAAAACATTCAAACTGGAATTGATTTCATTCTTCCAAAGCCATTCCCAATAACTTTTTTCTGTTTAGTCTTTTAAAAGAATAAATAAATAAATTAATAAAAAAATCTTTGACACACATATTGTTTTGTCTGGTTTAACACCGATTTTAACACATTTTTGTTATATCTCGCCAGTCTGTCCTTCAAGCTGTTTTTGTTTTTTGTTTTTAAAGAGAACTACATAGAGGAAATTTGTTTGTTTTGCATGCAAGACTGACATATATTTCAATGAGTGAACACCAGATGCAATATTTTATAATATGGAAACTAGAATAGCTGGTGTTCAGGAATGAAATATATTTCAATCTTATTATGTAAAACAAATAAATTTTCTTTTTATTTCATGCTTTATATGTTATTTTAAGTACAAATTTTTCACTGATTTTCTGCATATGACGTTATCACATAATGAAGTCACATCACCAATTTTGAAATATAGTTCTGTTAAATTTCTCTAATTTTGTTACATTCTTAATATGATGTACGATGACATCGGCTGTCTTTTCCTAAAGAAGCAAAATTTACGTATGATGGCATTTATTATTGCATTATTATTCCATTTAGTTATGAATATTCTTTTCATCCGCATTTAGATATTATAAGTCTGGCTACAGTGAAAATTATCTTTCATAAATTTCACTAGTGGTTTATCAGAATATATAATCATCTGATAGATGTATTTTTATTGTATTGTACAGTACAAATGTAGCAGAATATTTCAGAGAATCAATAGCTAATCAAGGAAATGAAAGGTAAAAGTAATTAAAGGCGCATACTCATTTAGATTTGAAAGTTTGTTTGTTTGTTTGTTTCATTTTACGCCTTTTCCCAACAGTATTTCAGTCATATAGGCGGGTAGTTTCCTAACCATCGTTCCTGGAGAGTTACACCAGTACTACCTTCCTCCATGCTAAACTACCAAAGCATCTCCGGGGATCAAACCCACGCCAAAGAGGTAATTGGATTAGAAGTCATTGACTCTAACCCCTCAACCACGATTTAAAAAATCCAGAACATACGGTATACCAAACTGCTGGAACCAAAAGTTATTCCCCTTTGTCACCGGTCAGGCTAGTCTAGACTTATGTTCAGTCTAACTGGGCCTTATATTTGTTCAGGTAGCTCAATTTTTGTATTTTAAAGGGATTCCACTGCAAATTTTTGACATGACAGGACTGGAAATATTTTCCCCAAAATTTGTGTTCCATTTGATGTCAGTCTTGACAAATATTTGTGTACAACTTTTCTATATTTAGATATTGAAACCCCTTTAACTTTGAATGGTCTGTTCCAAAATAAAAGCAGACCAAATCCATGCAGGTTAAGAGTTCCTTCCATCTATCAATCAATTCAGAGACATGAATTTTTTATGAAAATGGATCAATCTTCCCTAATTGGTGATACAATTCTTTTAAATAATTTAAAAGGTTAACTTCTCCGAAAGACATGAATAATTAAATATACACTATCAGATCAAACAAACATGTAGCCTACATTTTTCTTAAGTGTACGCAAGTGTATGGCAATGCAATTTCCTTACATAAGTATTTATAATACTGGTAAAAGCTTGAGGTTACACTTGAAACTATTAAAATTCCATATTAAACAGGAAAACAACGAAAACAACAAAAGTCAATGTCATCCCTGAAAAATATTTAGCAAGTCAGATTCTTTAAAAAAAAATCATATAAAAAAGTCAGTACCTCCTGTTAAAATTATATTAATTCAGTTTATCCATTTGATTTTTTGAGATGCACAAAAAGTACAGTGAAACCTGTACACTAACTCTCCCCTTCCCTCCTCCTACCCCACATGCTACAAAAACGACTCAGAGTGCTACTAAATGTAGCAACCCAGCTAATTTTTTTTCTCCAATTTTAAAATGTTATTTTATACAACAGTCATTAGAGGTTCTCATAACTGTTTCACTTTTTAAAATACCTTGAAAAATAAAAAAGTTATGACCGTTTGAAATAATCTTAAAACCGCAATTTAATTGAAAATTTCCGCAATATATAATATGAAAAAAAAAATCTTATGAACGTGTCACCGCAAAATGAAATAATATGTCATTTTCCAAACAGTAAAAATGCCAACTTTTTAACTGTGTAAAAGGCACCTCCTCAGATTTGTTTTTCTTAAGATGTTTGAAACAAGGGCATTGTATAAATTATTTCCATGGAAACCTACCGTAAGCTGTAAATCTCCCTGCATAAGGACCGTCCACAACACCTTCATTGTCACGTGCTAATGCTCGGATATATTGTTCACTTAGTTTAATCACTTCCGACTGAAAAATATAAAACAAAATTATTTACTTTGTACAAAATGAAATAAAAGGTAAAATATATTTCTGGAAGATCATAATAATACAATAGGAAACACAAAATTTCCCACTCAAAAATTCTAACATTTCAAGAATATAAAACTTTATCAGTTCACAAAAATGTAATTTTGTGATTTTTTTTCCAATAAATCATGCATTTACAAGTCACAGAAAATACTTTTATGGATTCAATTAAATTTGTACCAATGAAAAAGAAACAGTATGGTCAAAATCACAACCAGGGATGAAGCTTGGTCTAAATTTATGTGTAGGCTAACTTCTAAGGGGGTTGGTGAGCATGCATCCTAAAGAAAAGATATGCTTAAAGTTTTGACATATATTTAGAACAAGAGCCATGTCAACATGGCCATCCCCCGCCGAATGTGTTTGCTCATTGGAAGAATGTATATGTAGTAGAGCGGAATAATTCCATTTTAAGAGGTCTTTTGGTAATGAAAACTGATGGCTATAGTGATTACAGATTTGAAACCTATGTGAATACTGATGGCTGAAAATAACAAAGGGCAATTACTGAAAAATAATGCAGGGTAGGTTATCATACTTGTGTGCTGCATCCCTCCTCAGTAAAATCTATCCACCTATGAAGTTTCAAGTTGATACCTCAAATACTTTTTGAGAAAAAAATTGAATTGAAAAATTAAGTATGAAAAAGAACAAAGGGCAATAACTCAAAAATTACTAGAAATGTGTCATCATGCCACGGATGCCCCCGCATGCAGCCAAAATTTCAAATGTTATAATATTTAGTTCCAAATTTGTTTGCACAAATTATTTTTTTCATTCTAAGTTCAAAGCCCTTAAAACTTTTCAATGTTAACACAAACCATTTTTATACAATGTTCAAGGCACTGAAATTATAATTCAGTCTTAACCTTTTAAAAATAGCATATTGCATATTTGTAGCCAACATAATGGCTATATACATTTCCACAAAAGTATGAGTGCTGAAACTGAAAGTTCAAAATTTTTCCAACATTCAGGAAAGATAAGTTTGTCTAAAATCATTGAACCACGACCAAATTCAAACTTAAACTGCTTATTCCTAAGATGTATCTATATTATTTTCAAAGTGAAAGGGACATAACTCTGCCAAAAAAATCATCGAACCATGACCAAATTCCAACTTGACCTGCGCATTCCTTTGACATATCCATATGTCAATTTTGAGTTGAATATGTAACACTGTTGGGTTGATAATAAACAGAAACTGTAAATTTCATATTAATTTCAAAGTGAAAGGGTCATTACTCTGCCAAAAATCATTGAACCATGACCAAATTCCAACTTGACCTGCGCATTCCTTTGACATATCCATATGTCAATTTTGAGTTGAATATGTAACACTGTTGGGTTTGTGGTAAAGTTAGGAATCTATTCATTTGATTATGCTGCATTATGTAAATATTATGTAATATTTTGTAATTTAAAGTTACATCATTGTTCATTTATTTTTAATCAATACCAGTAGATATCTAATTATGATCAAGGGAGATAATCATGATTAAGTCAAACAGGTTCCCTTGACAACTAGGGAAGGGAGATCACTCTTGTTTAGCTAAATAAGGGCTGAATATTTTCATCATTTTATCAAGTATTCAAGCATTCTAATGATGATTTTCTTTGTGTTTTTATTATTCACAGTATAAATATTATGTATCTTTAATAATTCTGTATTTTATGTAAATAATATTGAGTTTTAAACACATTCTAAGGAACTACTTTTTGGGGGACTACTTTCTC